AATTAATGTTACCATGGCATCCCCCATATAAAGCCACAGTAAAGTTAATTATGTGCAGCGGCAACACTGTAATGATCTTGAAGATAACTGCTGTAGAAGCAATATCTGTGAGGAATTAAAAGAGGACTTGGAGAAAATTGTATTGTGTTGTAAGTTAAAAAATGTGGTCACAGCTTTGCTACAAATATAAAATCAAGAATATTTCACCTGTTTCTAATTTTCCTTTTACTTATAAAGGCAATTGTTTGCTTGATTGAAGGTAGGGAGGGACCAGTTAGGGATCTTACAGGCTCTGTGACTGAACCTCTGAATTAGAGGGGTGGATTTGCTGTTGAGCGTGAGGACTATGATCAGTGTATGTTATTAATTCAAGCATATTATTTCTCAGTTCTGGGAGTGGGACCATGTCTACAGCAGTGGTGCTGCCAAGGAGCCTGCCCATCCCCACAGGTTGCTAAATAGGGGAATCCAGAATGGGGTCAATCTTTTGAGAGAGGCTATCACCCTTGAAGGATACTGGCCAGTCCTACCTTTGTCACTGTATCACCTCTTAGGGACCTCAAAATTCACCTGACCCAGCTAGCATGTGGGGACGTGATGTCCTGCCATCGTGAGACTGTCCCCAGGGAGAGGAGGGGGAGAAGAGCATTGGCCCCCCTGTGGTCTTCTGCTCCTCCCATCAGCCTTCCCTGCCCCTTTGATCAAAAAGTGCCTTTTCTGCAGGGTGAGGTCTTGAAGAAAGGACGACCCTTGTGGGTGCTGGCAGCTGGCAGAATGCGGCAACAAACCGAGGTGGCCTTGGAGGGGACGTCCCACCGTCAGGCCAGCGTCGGCCTCCTGTGTGATTGGAAAGATCACAAAGACTTTTTGGCAAAAGGGCCGTGAACTGACTGGGTAGCTGGGGAGGTTTCCAGCTCTGTTTGCACTTACGCTGGCTTCCCTTGCTTTGCAGGCACAGTTTCACTACTCTAAAAAGTGACCCTATGTATTTAGCTGACTTAACCGTTCCTCGTCAACCTTATTTTTCAAGCTTCTTCCCATCTCTTTCCCACCTCTTCATAGCTTGTCAGCGTATTTGATGCGGTACAAAGTTTAAGAAGTCTTGAGTCAGTCAAGCCCGGGTGCCTATTCCCTTCCTCCTTTTTTTATCTTGCATCCTTTAATGTTTGTGATTCTGCATGGTGTCTGTGAGGGAGCAGCATCCCCTTATAGTGTAATATGGACTGGAGACTCTCTGCTCCTGTTGGAATCCTCAGATCCTGTTGGAGCAGCGGAGGGAACTGGGGTTGTTTAGCCTGGAGAAAAGGAGGCTCAGGGGAGACCTTATCGCTGTCTACAATTACCTGAAAGGAGGTTGTAGTGAGGTGGGTGTCCGTCTCTTTTCCCAAGTAACGAACGATAGGACAAGAGGAAATGGCCTCAAGTTGTGCCAGAGGAGGTTTAGATTGGATATTAGGAAAAAATTTCTTCGCCGAAAGGGTTGTCAACCATTGGAACAGGCTGCCCAGGGAAGTGGTTGAGTCCCCATCCATGGAGGTAGTTAAAAGACATGTAGATGTGGTGCTAAGGGACATGGTTTGGTGGTGGACTTGGTAGTGCTAGGTTAATGGTTGGACTTGATCTTAAAGGTCTTCTCCAACTGAAATGATTCTATGAATCAACATTTATGCAGTTATTGGTATGAAAGAGGACTTGCAAGCAAATGCAGTGCTGTGGTGGCTTAGGGTTAATTTTTGATGGATTTGGGTTTTTTTCTTATTTTTTGTTTTTCAGTTTTCATTTTAAAATGCGATTGCTCAGTCTGTCTGCTGTACTAGCTTCCCAGTTGGCTTTCTCCAGTGTTAAAAGTGATGCTGTATTCTCCTATTCTGTACTTTTAGTTCCTGATCACTTTTGATCTGTCTCTTCACTGCTTTTTATCTGTACATGTTAAATCTCCTTTTCCTTAACTCATTCATCGCTCTGTTTTTTCAAGATGTTGCTATGCTTTCTCTTCTGAAGCATCCTCCATTCCTTTCCCTTGTGTCTTACTCTTGTTTTATTAAAGTCCCCAGTTTGATCATTATCCATTTTATTAGTCAACATATGACAGTGGTGGCACCAGCAATGATCTATGTCAAATTTTGCTATATAGTTTCCTTTGCTATGCCCCATAATGGTTTAATGGTTGGACTGGATGATCTTAAAGGTCTTTTCCAACCTAAACAATTCTATGATTCTATAAATCAGGGCTGTAACTCACTCATGATTGGTCCTTTTTGGGGTATAAAAAGGCAGTGGGCCACTGGTAATGGCACTGAGCTGCGGTTTCTTGCTTTGTTGTACTTGGTCTAGATCACGTTTCTTCAGTGCAGCCCAGCAGCTGTGCAGCTCAGGCACTGCTCTGCATCCGTGTTGTTGTTGCAGTGTTTGTACAGCTGTAGCATCCTGGAACCCTTGGACCAAGACCCTTATCCCCCAGATTGATTGAGGAGTACTTATTTGCTCATACCTACTATCAGCAGTAATTAATGAGTCCCCTTCCTTGGCTATAAGCAGATGAACTGATGTGCTTTTAGGGGACCAGAGCCAACTCGTGGAGGAGTTACTTAAGGAGAAGTAAGTCATTTCTGAACCTATGCCAGAGTAGAGACCTGGGCAGCCCATACAGGATAGGTGAGGTAGGTCCTTGTTCCTCCTTCCTCCCTTGTGTGGGTGTGCAACCCAGGTCAAAATCTTGGGTTTTTTTAAAAGGAGATTGTCAACTAGTGTTTTGCATGCACTGAGCTGGGCTGACGTCAATGAAACTCTGCCTGTTTCTGCCAGCACTGAATTTGACCCATTTTATTCAGAGTGTATGTTATATACCTCAGTACAAATGATGAAGCAGTGACTTAACACAGGCAGTGATTCATAGTGGCAGACACCTCTGCAGTCCTCAGAGAATGTCTGGATCTTTCCATAGCTGTACTTTGCTGAGGAACCACCTCGTTTTCAGACCAGAGTCATCTGGAAATGGCCAGCTGGAGCAGGGTGGTCCAGACTCTTTCTCTCTGTGCACAAAAACCCCCACCATCTACTTCTGAGCATGCTTTATCTATGCCGTATGTTAAAGGAGGGCACAGATGATCTCTAGCATCTCATGCTATGGGGGTAACAAGTACTAAATGTTGCTGTGGTTCTTGTGTCAGAAATGTGCTATACGGTGTGAACGTGTTAAAGCTGCAATTGCTCCTGTGGATCTTGGTGTGATTGAGCTCAGCCCTGCATATCTGTGCTGGTTTTGCTTTTTCCTTAAACTCGCTCAAAAACTACTGCAGAAAACCCAGCCTTGCTATGTGTTGCTTTCTTCATCTCTGTTGTAGGCATATTACTGGCGCAGAATCTGTTATTGCTGTTACGGTGTATTTATTGTGAGTGAGTGTTGTGCATTAATCTTGCAGCATACTGTTGTCATGAAGCGCCATCCTTGTTCCCCTGAGTAATGACACTCCAGGCATACCTTGTTTACATTCTTAGGACATCAACTTTTTAGCAGTCAAAACCCAAACTGAACACGTAGAATGAACATCAACAAAATATCCGTTGTCTTCCAGACTGGTCGTGGCCCAGCACAGCAGAGAGCAAGCTTGAGCTCAGATGCCAGTTTCAGTACTAAGTCCTGCAGAAGCTTTGATCGAAATACTTTGTATTTTCCATCTCACTTTCTTTCCTCTGTTGAAAGAGGAAGAGTGGTAGCTCTTACTTAATACATACCACTGCTTCTATGTAAACAGCATATTCGTTGCGTATTGCTGTTAAATATTAAGCGGTGTTATATATTTTATAAAGCTCTGATAAAGCATCTTGAAGTAGAAATTTAAATGATAATGATGTGCTATTTATATTTTTCTTCTGGTTTGCTGCATTTTTTAACATGTGAAATAGACACCAAATATTTGATGTATGTTTGACTTTTTCACTTTTGATCTTTATTTTGGTTTTCATTCATAAGTAGCCCCTCATTTTCTGACCTAGCATTTTTGGACAATGAAAGCGATATTTTTCGAAACAGTCCTTTATCCAAGTTCACACCAAAAGCGCTGTGGATTTGGACTCCACCCTCTGCCCCAGACACTCCTCAGCATGAAAGAAAAGCAAATCTGTCTTTTAATAAGATGAAACCGAGTTGGATAAACATCAGATTGGAATTGCCTGGCTCTCTCTGGAGCTGTAAATTCACATCTTGGCTAAATAACTCCTGGCCCTTCTTCCATTTGAAATGGATATCTTGAGCAGTTTACAGTTTGGGGATCTTTTGAATAAGACCTTAAAAGAATGACATCCCATCTGCTATGCACAGCCAGCAAGGACTTGTGGTGTTTTGCCATGATTAGCTGGCAAGATTGCCTTCTCCTCCCTGATCACATGGTGCCCTGCTTGTCTGCAGCTGACCCTGCTTGAGCAGGAGGGTTGGACCAGATGACCTCCAGAGGTCCCTTCCAACCTCAGCCAGTCTGTGATTTTGTGACTTGCACTTTCTGCTCCAAAAAGGCTTCCCTGTTACTGGGGCTGAGCTGGTAAGATCCTTGAAGGCATGTGGAGTGACATTATCTTCTCTTTGTTGTGTTGTCAATGATTATACATCCATTTGATATAAGTTCAAAGCTTAGCGAAGCCACTGAAAATTTTCAGAGAGCAGGGGGACTGGATCACCTTGCCCTGCAGAGAGACAACTTGGGGTGACAATGTGTTGTGCATTGTTTAAACAGGGAAACAAAATCAAGTGAAAGCTGTGCTTTTTTGCCCAATTTTTTATAAAATGTATAACTTGTCCCGTGAAAGATAGACCAAGGGCAATCTCCATTAGCTTGCATTAGCATTTCCCATTCAGCTCTTCCCTTGAAACATACAGGTCAAAGGAGAATGAGTATGTGCATGACCTACATCCTTCAAAGATAGGGCAAAGTATTATTTTCCGAGGGACAGTGAGGTCTGTCCTCTGCTTGTCCTCTGAGGGAGCTTATTTCTCACATCCACAGAATCGACGACTGTTTTTGTGCATCTCGGAAACTGGATGCAGTTGCCACTGAAGCGAAGTTCAAGCAGGACCTGGGTTTCCGGATGCTCAACTGTGGCCGAACGGACCTGGTTAAACAAGCCATATCCTTGCTGGGGCCAGATGGGATTAACAGCATGAGTGAACAGGTAATAAGATAGAAATATGAAGAAGCAACTGTGAAATGTGAGAGTTTTGCCTGCTTATCACATAAAACTAGCTCAAGCTTTCAGCTAAACATAGACAGGACCTTAATGCTTTCCCTGCATTACTTTGCATTGAGTTAAAGCACCACCAGGTGAACATCTACGTTAAGTTTTGGGCTTTTCGAGTTGTATTGATTTGTTGGTAGAGGTAACTCAGCATGAGAGCGAATGCATCCCCTTAAGTCTTCTCAACAGTGAACTGAGTAGGCTGACGCCAGAAGGAGATCCCAAGAGAGCGTAGTGTTGATCTGAATACTTAAAACTGCTTCAGTGCCATGAAGAGTGTTGTGGGGCAGGGCTTTGTAGGGTGAACATCCTTCCACTGAACACGGGTCTGCAGTGCATGTCACGGGCACCACCAGACCCCGGCAGGAAACAGTTAATCGATTGCTGGCGGTCTTTAATTGAGTTGAGCCCAGTTTGAACTGACCTTCCAGCCGTGAAAGCCTCTCTGCAATGTTACCACTCCATTAGTCACTGTGGCTGACATCCACCAAGTGAGGAGTCTAAATTTCTCTGGAGTTACATCTCCACAAGGCTGGTGGTTGTGTCCAGGGATAAACCCACGTCCGTGGCTGCCTACCAGTAGCAGTCTGTTGGACTGTGGTGCTCACCGAGGTGGGTCCCCCTTCCTAGAGGGAAACGGAGAAATGATGGCCATGGATATTATCCTTTTGAAATAGAGTTCCCTAAATTTTCTGATGCCCTGATGAAAGTGTCACTGCATGTTCCCAGAGCTGTGATGTCCCCTTTGGCAAGAGGCAGGCGGCTTCCACCCCTGAGGTGGTCACCTGGGGCAAGAGCTGGGTTGTAAGTGGGTGTAGGTCCTCTGAGATGAAAGCTGCTCTGGGAATGTGAGTTATGTTGCTGCTCAGGAGCTTCAGTCTGAGTCAATATTATGGATTAGTTTGAGAAGAGAGCAGTACTCCTCCCCAAAAAATTGTATTGGAGAGCTCGTTCCAAGGTTCATACACGATACTTTTTAAAATTACTATTATTTTAAGTTAGTCTGAACCTGGAAACTTCACAGCGTATTTCCTCTGTCCTCCAGGCTGAAACCTGGGAGCATTCTGGCTTGATTCATCAAAGTACCTAATCATATGGTTAACTCTGAACACATGCTTACATCCTATTTGAGTGAAAGTTAAGCCTGTGCTTAAATGCTTCGCTGGATCAAACATCCCACATCTTGCAAGACAGAGCCCTAAATGATGCAAGGCTGAAAGAAAAAGAGCCATTTTTTATTTTGCCAAAAGCCAAGTGCCTTTACTGTTGATTGTACATGTTGTTACTGTGTTCCTGTGTGTGTGTCAAACACTAATGATGGGCTCATTAAAAATCCATTCCTCCCACATGCAAAGAGAGCGGGCTGAGTTGAGTGGTGCTGCAGCACAAGGCTGGGGGACCGGCAGAGGCAAAAGCAGCAAGGACAGCAGTGCAAGGGGAGGGGAAGTTAGAAACCTGATGAACTCTTTAAAGCCCCGATACTGCAGCATGACATTCTGGGCCCCTTTTAGTCAGTGGTAAGTCCTTGAGCTTCAGCAGGGCCAGAATATCCCATGTGGTCCCCAGGCAGATCCTTTGTTCCGGGCATTGCTGCGGGATTCTTTGCCGCGGCTGCCCATGTGCTGCATCTTGCAGGAGGGAGCCCCAGCATGGGGCTTTCAAATTCTTTTCTTCAGATCTGATGAGACCCCTTGTGCTAAACACTTGATTTAATAATCAAATGACACCACTTACAGAAATTGCAATAATAGTTGAAGGAGCATGTATTTAATTTTAAGCTGCCATCCTGTCCCTGTCTTTCAAGGCCCAAGCACATTTTTTTGTAATTCTCATGGTCCTGCTTGTTCCTGTAGTGTTTATTGACTGCCAAAGGAAATGTTTTGCCACTGACTGTAGCTGAAGTAGTTTCAAATTCTCTTTGCAAGTAACTTCAAGTCACCCAAGCACTATCCTTGCCTGGGGTGAACTTGTTTTTTCCTACTAATGGCATGAAGCACCAAATGCCTATTCCCTTACTCTGTATCTCCATAAGTACACTGCAGATTTGATCCTGTGAAATGCTCAGTGTGTTTCAAGGGGGCTCTAAGTACCTTGCAGGGACAAACCTTAATTTGTATTTTCTCTACAAGGGCAGCCCTTCCATACCTATGCACCCACTACCTTTAGCCCTACATGCAAACAGGAAAAATGGGGTAGTTCAGCGAAAATAGTGATGCTGGGCTCACGCTAGGAAGAGCAGTGTCATGGCTCTGTGTCTGGCTGTGCTGGGCACCTCCAGTTTCTCTGAAAATAATTTCACTTCATGACAGCACTCAGGTTAAACAGCAAACAAGCTATCGTCTGACAGCAAATTTACCAGGGGACCTCAAGGTAGACTATAAACATGCATCAGAGGTAGCTGTATGCTGCGGTAGATTTACTGCAAAACAACTGGTGGCTGTTGATCAACACCCCCTACTGTATTTAATAAGCAGCTTTTTCTGTTATAATTTACGGTAGATTTAATGATTTTTTTTCATGATTTCATCTGGACTCATTACCACAGCCACAGTAATACTTATCTTAAGGGAAATGGTGATCAGCCACAGCAGGTATTTCAGATCAATACAAGTTGCATTGTGGTGGTTCTGTAGTGAAGGGTCACTTAATCTACTTTTCCTCCAAACAGGGTCATGTTTTCCTAGAGCCAGCAACTTGCAACAATGCTGTCTTTCATTTAAAATTAAGTCCTTGTTTGCTAGGGAGTACTATACAAAGCCTTTGCATTTCCAGCCCCTTATGGTATCTGTGTTGAAAAAGCTGTGCCCAAGTCTAACCTGTCTTAAGAGGAGCTTGGGATGTTTTTAAAGGCTCTTTTGGTAATTAAAAAGTTAGATTTTATGAAACTGTGATCATAGAAAAGAGAATAGAATTATTGTTTTTTTAGAATACCAGTGGTAATACAGTTGCTTTGCTAAAAACATTTCTCTTCTGGGGCCCCACAGGCAAAAATGCTTAGTTTAGTTATATGAACATGGAGGTGAGGCTGACAACCCTAGTTTCACTGACCATGCTGAGGATAACATGAAAAAAAAACAGTCAACACCAATCAACCCAAGTGACAACAAAAATGGAGATTTTACAAAAATGGTTGGCTTTTGCTAGTCTGAGGGGCATGTCTGTAACAGAGGTAATGGCTTTCTTTAAATACATACTGTTAGTCTTGATGATATATACTTAAATAATTGTTTAAAAAATCAAAGAGAGTTCTGTGTTAAATTTGTCAATTCCTTTGTTTTTTAACTCCAAAAAATGACTAGGGCATGACTCCACTGATGTATGCTTGTGTCAGGGGTGATGAGGCTATGGTGCAGATGCTGCTAGATGCTGGAGCAGATCTGAATGCTGAGGTGAGGACTTTTTGTTGGTTGTATCTTTGTTCTGTTATTTGTTTACATCTTAAACTATCTCCTGAAACTGTAGCAGAGGGAAATTCCCAAGAATTCAAAAGAAAATAAATTTGTCTTATCCTGGACGGCACCACTTGAAATGAATAGTGAAATAAAACTGCATTAGGTTAACATTGGGATTCACTGCACAGAAGGGGTCATCGGACTTACCCCACAGGTAATATTGATTTCGTTGTGTTTGCACACTGCAAATGAATGCAGACATTAGCAGTAGCACAGAGCACAGCTCTACTGATATTGGAAGGACTCCCTGAATCTCAACTGAGTTAAAATGAAGAGGGTAAAAGAAATACCCGTCTGATAACCTGCCAAAGCTCGAGCATTTCTATGCATTGGGATGTTCCAGCTAAGCATCCTGAGCACACAAGTGCAATGTAGGTTCCACTGTTTTGTTTACAAAGTGCCTTGGGCTAAAAACTGTTGGATGAGGAGCTTGAAGCTTCCAGAATATGTCTCTTTGATGAATGCACATCACAAACTTACACAATCTGTCCACCAAGCAGATTGTGGTCTGACTCTGTGCAATGCAGGTATGTACATTTTTAAAGAGCCGCTTGAAAATCCACGGAAGAATTATTTGTTAATGATTCCAGTTTCAGTTTGTTGAGGTCATGAGTAAATTAAGCTGTTTGCTTCACTTATCTGTGTTCCATCTGTTCTGTTTGGACTTGAGCGAGCTGATAAATTGTAGTCACTGCTTTCAGCCAGACGTTTTGCACTTTAAAAAAAATCTAATTTAAAAGTAGAAATGGATGTCACCTGTAAGAGACTGATAGTCATTACTATCTGATTGCTGTTCGGTGGCTTATGTGAAATCAGCTGATGATTTCAGTTCCACTCTCACCTCTTCCCAAATTCAAGCACGACGCCCTCAAGAGCTGTCAATAATTGACTACTTGAACCCTTGTTAGCACTCTCAGTAGGCACACCAAAGACGGGATGGGCATGGAGACTAATGTCTCCTATTACCCTGCCTGTGGCTCAGAAGTCAGATGGCATTATTTGGTTCCTAGAACAAGTTTTCATTAGGAGCAGTCCTCCCAGTTGCTCCAGTAATCTTCCAGACTTGAACCAAATGCAAATTTAAACAGTTTTGTCTTCCTGAAACTGCTGACATCTGAGAGAACAGCTCCAGTGAGGAATGTGAACCTCCCTGATTCATTTCTGTCAAGTGTTTGCTCTGAAATCAAATGAAAACACTTTGGGACAAGAACTGTGAATAATTATGGTGTGCAATTATAAGATGATTTGTGCACACCACAACCAACTGTGCAAATTGGGCAATTATGGCAAAAAAAAAGGGCAAATCAACCATGAACAAAAATAAATACTCTGTCAGGTGCCTGCATCATTTTCCCCCTTTCACTTTGCACATCAGTTATATATATATATATATGTTTCCAAAAGTAGCCTCAAATGCTGGGTGCCTCCCTTTTTGATTGCCCATCTTTAGCGAAAATGGACTCATTTCCAGATGTGCTGAGAAGCTGCAATTCGCTGTGGTGTCAATGGGACCTGTAGCTGCTCAGCAAATCTCAACAGAGGCCTTAAAAGCCCGGTCACCCGTAGGTCTTTTGCAAACGCTGTTGGCTGGAAAGAACTCTCAACAAAAAAAAGGAGCAAAGGAGTTAAAATGACTTCATTTTCTTTGCCGCTTGCCATGGGCTGCCCCGAACAGTGGTGGGAAGCCATGCTGGAGGAGGAGCTGGATGCATTCACTGATCCGTGACCCTGCCCGTCCTCACCCTCCGCTGCTCTTGCTCCCCAGCCTAAACCCCAAGGCTCAAGCTGCTCAGTCCTCTTCCTTCTGAGAAATCCCAGACCCAAAGAAGCCCCATGCCTGTGCTCAGACACTGGCACACTTCTCCTGTTGGCACTTTGAGCTCTCTTTTTGGCAAATCTGGGCGATAACAGCCAGGTGCTGGTGCAGATCCGCCCCTCTGGCAAGCTGCGGGATCTGCATGAGCTCTTCAGATTTTGCCCTCATCCCTGTCCTTGGGACTAAGGGCCTGGTCGTGTGCTTCTAGCAAAACACTGCATGTGACGCTTGGAAATGCGAGCTGCTAATGCAACCGAGCATTTAATAACTGGCTCTGCTCCCCTACATGGATAAAAGTACTTCAGACAAGGTAGTGAAAGCATAGCTGGATGATGAGACAGAGAGGTGGTGCATCTTTTACTCTGATTTTAGTCCTCCTCTGAAGATCAATAATAAGATTTTGAATTTTAGTGTCACACTCCATCCGAGTGTGCAGTCTCGGATTGCAAACGTTCATTAGATTTTACCATCTCTGTGAACCTCATCAATATTAATACCCCCATCTTTAAGACAGGGAAACTGAAGCAAAGAGTGGTTATTCATCTTCCCCAATGTCTACATTAGAGGCACCAGGCACTAAGGCATAGAAAATGGAAGGAGCAATGTGAAAAATACCATTTTGTTTTCTAAAGATATAGTTTGCGTCTCTTTTAACTGTCACCACCCTGCTCTTTTAACTAAACTCAGACAGGAGACAGCGGTAAAACGGAGTTTTCGTAAAACATCTCTGAAATGCCACTCTGCCCCATCACTTCTCAGCTGTCTTTTTTTCTTCCTGTGGGAGAGGAGGAGCCTGGAAGCACATCTGTGAACTCTAGCGTAGGGCTTGTGATCTGTCTTTCATGACAGCAGTGACAAAAGTCGTACTGATTTATGCAGAAAGAATTTCTTTGGGCCTGGAGCAATCCCAAGACCTGGGTCTGTTGATACACGGTCTGGAGAAGTCAGTGGGAGTGGTCCTCAGCTGTGGAGCGTCCTGATCTGTCCCTGCTTCCCTAGTGTGTGCTGCTGTAACCAGCTGTGGATGTTTTGACCTTGTGCAAAAGTATCTGGTGGACAGTGGTTTAGATGGAGCTACAGTAGTTGGTAAAAAGACTTCATTTGGTATGAACTCTATTCAAGCTGTCAAATCAGCATGAACAGTTTTAATATTGAGAAAATTTTTGCAGGATAAAAATGAAGCCAATCATTTTATAAAGCACCTTTCCCAGGTTTTCTATTTCACTTACTCCCTCACATGCCTGGCTTTCAGGCAGGTTGAATTTTATTACGTATAGCTCTTTAAAAAAAATAACTTTAATTTGTTTGTAGGTTGTCAGTACTGCTCATAAATACCCATCCGTCCACCCTGAGACCCGCCATTGGACAGCTCTGACATTTGCTGTGTTGCATGGACATATTCCTGTAGTTCAGGTATTATTGTATTTCCCTACCTGCATCTCATTCTTTTGTTTCTCCTCTTCAGTTCTAATTACATCCATCTCAAACCAGTATCCTCTTGTCATACTCATATTGGTTACTTCTGCTTCTTCTAGAGTGTACTGATATATAATAGACCTATTATATAACGAATATGGTGTTGAAACCTTAACCAATATGAGGTTTAAATAGGACAATTTTAAAGCAAAGTTGCACCAAAGAAAGTCTGACAACTCCTTGTGCTCCTTCCTGACCACTTGTTTTATATGTTTGTTTATTCATTCATTACACTTTCTTACACTATAATATTCTAGCAAACACAAAACCGCTGCCTTGGTGGGGGAGAGGTGGACAACAGCCCTTGTGCTGCTCCAAAGGGGGAGAAGCACTCGCTCTCCTTACCCCAGCGAGGTGTCGTGTGGGATATGCTGGTTCTGTGCTTTGGCATCTCAAAAGTTGAGCAGGTTCATTCTTCAAAACAGCTGTGTCTATGGCACACTTAATGAAGCGCCAGAACTGTGAAGGCCTCGAGACAGAAATGGCCAAGAGGGGGCTGGAGCGCATGCTCCGTCCTGCTCTCCTTGGCCACTTTTGTTTTCAGCGTTGTTGTTATTTACGTGTAAGTGTCCCCGATGGAGATCACAGCTTTTGACTGCAATTGGTTGTTAAGAATTGCCTTTCTTTTGGCCATGTCTTTATATAAAAGATGGAGGCAATTGAAATCTGATTCGTTTTAGGATGGTGCTGGGCTTCTAGAAGACCATGAAGGAAGGATGCTTGTCGGGCTAATTTTCAGTACTTCCATCTTCAGCGCATCACTTCCTAACACTGATCTTACCCCATTTCCCATTCAGAAACACTGGGTTACACTTTTTTGGCTCTGAAGTTGGACACTAGTGCTCCTGGTGTCTGGCAGCATAAAATGAGCGAAAAAAGGAATCAGTTTGCCTCTGTGAAACAATGGGCAGAATTTGCATGTCACTTGTTTCCATTGTATCTGGTTTGCAGATAACAAGAAGCATTAGACTCTCATTCGTCACTGTTCATGAACTCCGAATGCTGTGATACCCCCAGTTGCTCTAAATGGTGAATTTTCTTTCTAGCTGTTGCTGGATGCTGGAGCAAAGGTAGAAGGTTCCTTGGAGCATGGAGAGGAAAATTACTCTGAAACTCCTTTACAGTTGGCAGCAGCTGCTGGTAAGGACTTTCTCCTCCCACCATAATAAACTCTTCAGTCGGGATCTGTGGTTTAGGTGAGCAAATACTGGATTTTAGAAGAAGTAAAAATGCATCTCTTGACTTGCAGGAAATTTTGAACTGGTCAGTTTGCTGTTGGAGCGAGGAGCTGACCCCATGATAGGTACAATGTACAGGAACGGCATTTCCATGACTCCACAAGGTGACATGAACTCTTTCAGTCAGGCTGCTGCACATGGACACAGGTAGAGTGGGAACAAGTCTAGTGGCATCCTTCAAGTGCTTATTTTTTGCCTGGGCGTCCGGTTTGAGCAGATGGGTGAAAGTTCTGCATGAACAATTGAACATGCCACCAACTGAGCAGAGATGTAAGGCTTTTTGCTAGCATGTGAATTTAACCAGTTGGTGGTACAAGCTGCTTTTTTGATAGCTGACTTAAAAAAAAAAAAAGGGAGGGGACTCCTCACGGTGTGCTGCAATGCGATGTTTGTTAAATGGTAGCTGATGTGACGGCAGAAAGGAATGCCAAAGACATTCCTTCTGAATTTCTTGCTGACGTATTTCTCAGGTTTGGGGCGGATTGTGTCTGTACTGCTGCAGTCTTAATTGTCGTTGGACAGAGTTTCTGCATCTGTGTTTACTGTAAAGTCCCGTGTGCCTTAATGTTGTACGTATGCTGCAAATTTAAAAAAAAAAAAAAAAGTAATGAAATGAGCACCTGGCATGCATGATCTTGCAACGCTCAGGAGTTGACTGCAGTGTAATGGATTAGTATTACGATCTTCACGTTCCTGCTTTTCTGATTGTAGCCATCCAGAGGAACATAGATACAGGTTAGAGACAGTACCTACCGTCTGTTTGCTTAGAGACGAGCTGCCAGTCTAACAACATGCTAACGGCATGTCAGGGCGGGTTCGCACAACGCTGCCCATCTGGAGCCTGCGAGGGATCCCTGGGACAGGGAGGACAGTTTGGTTATTGGAGTCTTACATTTGCTGCTCTGGCCTTGCTGCCAGCTGGCGTGAGTGGGAGCTGTGCGCCCGAGGAGGACCTGGGGCTCTCCTCGGCTCGGCTGCTGGCTGTGCATGTCGCAGGTCCTGGCTCTTACTTTCCTACCTGTACAACGCTCACGCACACTCTCTCCTCCCTCCCTCTCTGCCCCGAATTTGTTTGGGACACGCCATGCCCCGCTGCCACCCCACGCCGGGGTCTGAGCAGGTGCAGGGAGGACGTCAGTGCGAGGGAGGTGGGATGGAAGGCAGCCTGGTTTCTCTTCTCACAGCTGCAGAAACTGAGAGCGACTCTGTTGAGATCGATGAGGTTACGCTGGTACGAACCTGAGGGCACCCAGTCTCTTGAGTTTGGGCTTTACTATTTGATGGCCCAGCCAGATCAGTGGCTTTGCAGAGTAGTCCCAGATGTGCTCGAACCTGCCCTGACTAGCCTTGTTGAATGTCTCGCTGCTCCAGCTTTCCCAGACTGCTTTGAGTGTTAATCGAGTGGTGGTGCTTTCGGTAGCTCCAGCCAGCTCCCTTCTCAAGTGGCCTCCATGGTGAAAGTCCTGAGAGCTTGTCCAGAGGCACCTCGGCCTTCCCTGGTTATGGGAAGAAGCCTTGAGTCACGTTTAGCTCGTGGGTCTCCGTTCCCACGAGATGCCGCCACTCGTGCGACATCTGTACGGTTCCTGTCACGAGAGCAGCGTCTTGCAGACGTGGCCCAGGCAGTGCAGGTGGGCTAGCAGGAGCGGTGACTGCCTCAGGTCTGCTCTCAGCTGGTCCTACCGTTAATTGGAGTAATTTCCTGGATAGGTGCCCTAACTTGCCACATAGCAGCAAGTATCCCAGTCGCAACGAAAGCCTAGCCGCTCATTCTGTTTTTTTTTCTCTCTTCCTCTCTCTGTCGTGCCGTGATTGACAGGAACGTCTTTCGTAAGCTGCTTGCTCAGCCAGAGAAGGAGAAGAGTGATATTCTGTCGCTGGAGGAGATCCTGGCGGAGGGGACGGACTTGCCCGACTTTTTTCCCCCCCCCAGCCGCAACAGCAAGGCCAAGCTGAAAGCCCTGAAGGAGGCCATGTACCACAGCGCCGAGCACGGCTACGTGGATGTGACCATTGACATACGGAGCATAGGTCAGTCCCGGCGCCCTCTCCTCTCCCTCTGGGGAGGGACCGCTGTAAAAAACGCATCTCTCTTGACGGACTGTTGCTTGAACCAACTACAGTTGCATCTTCCTCAGCTCCTGTGGAAGCAGAAGGTGATGGGGGATCTGGCAGGTTCCCAGTCTGTTTTGGCTCCACAGCGTACCCCAGTCGGGGCCACTGGCACTTTCCTGCAGGACGGAGTGGTTTCCACCAGCAGCCATCTTCACTGCTGCTTGGCAGAGCATTAGCTAAGGCGCTGGGGGAGTGTTCAGCTCACACAGGCCACCTCCAACAGATCCTCTTTTGCACTCCACCACAAAGCACTCCACCATTAAAACATATTTATTTTCTGAGGTTTGTGAGCCTTGGAGAGCAAGAGCAGGGAACTGGCTTTTTGGTGTGCTAACTGTGCCAATGTGGGGCTTGAACATCATACCAGCCTGTTGGGAAACCACTTCTGCCTGTGGGGAGAGTGGCTGGGTAGCATGGAGGGGAATCAATCTGGACTTTGTGTTTACCATCCCCGCTAATTTGTGTTCAGAGAGACCTGGGTGCCCAGCGTGCCTCTGCCTGGAGAGGTGCACCTCTCCAGCCCTGGAGACATCTGGCGTGGGTCAGGACGTGTGGTGGTCTGAGTGGTGGCGCACCGGGTGGGCTGAGCAGGCAAAGCACTGGGCTATGAGGGAGAGCGATGGGGCTGCTCTCCAGGCACTGGACGTTTGCTGAAGTGGAAGGAAAAACCTTTCGTAGCCAAACGCCAGGCTTGCGTTTCCTCCCACTCCGTTCTGCAAAAGCAGAAACTAGGTCACCTCCAGCCTAGTGCCTGCAGAGGTACATTAGCTCTGTGTGCTTTCTCGCTCAGTGCATAGGAGCAGTTCCCTTTAAGTTCCTGGAGAGTGGTTCTGCCACGACAAACTACTTGAAAAGGCTGATCTGCTTAACTTGCCCAGTGCTGTTTAGGGAAAACAGTAATGATCAGGAGAGGACATGGGGTAGCACTTAAAGAAAATTTTAATCTGAAGACCACCAGTTTGAATCCAGGTGGGCAGTGACCAAAATCTGGGTTTTTTTAGCATTTAATGGCTCTCCAGGGCCACATTCAAACAAATGAGCTAGTGTAAATCTAGTTTCCAAAAGGCTTTTGCATCACAGAGCACCACAGCAATTACCACAAATTGGCAGTCTCAGCAGAGAAGCTGGAGGCTAGATGAGCAGAGAGACCACAGTCTTCTCTTAGCGTTTGGAGGAAAGCCTCTATGCATTAGGTCTGGGATATCCTGATAACCAACAGCCTTCTCAATTGGGGATAAATAGAAATTTGATTTCTAGGGTTATTTGGCAGCTTTTGCTTAAGATCTTAACATAACTAAAGGTAAGAAAGCAGAAGGGCACATCCTTCTCTGAAGCTGGGAATGAGCTCTCTCCTCTGTCTGTAGGTGTTCCCTGGACGCTGCACACATGGCTGGAGTCCTTGCGCACATCCTTCCAGCAGCACCGACGACCCCTCATCCAGTGCTTGCTAAAGGAATTCAAGTCCATTCAGGAAGAAGAGTACACAGAGGAGCTCATCACACAAGGCTTGCCTCTGATGTTTGAGATACTGAAAGCCAGCAAGGTAGGATAAATTACGTGTTTTAAAGAAATCAGCCTCATTCCCATCCCGTAAGACACAAAGCTTGCAATATTGTTTTTGCACAGCTGTCTCAAAGCTTGGTTAGACTGTATAGGATTATTAATATTTGTATGATGTATCTCAGTTTTTTTTTCACTGTGGAATCATGGGTTAAAAACACACAAGCTAATCACATCTCCTGCTAGAACAGCTTAATACTGATGTTAACAATAAGCTGGAGAGACAACAGAAGCTGATGCATAGTGGTGAAATGAAAGTCAAAAGGGTCACTGCAGTAGTGCAAGAGATGTTGATAAGCAAACCAACCCAAAGAGTAACTTTACCGGCTTGTTTTACAGGACTGTACAACAAAGCTAATATTCATGTTTGCTTTGGATTTCTTTAACCTCTCACATGACTTTCTCCTCCCTTCATGTGGTATTTGGACTCTTAAACTTGTGGAGAGACTGGTTTCTACAAGCACACAACAGGATAATTTTTAAAATCTTCTGTGTGAGTGTTTGTACTTGCAGCCTCCCCAGTTTTATTCCTTCAGATGGCATTTTCTTAGCGAGATGAATCAGACTAACAAAACCTTTTGAGGGAGGTACCACTGGGTATGCAAGTATAATAGCAAAGGGGATGATCATAGCCAGGCAAGGAAAGGAAAATGTCTTACCTAGTGGAGGCTGGATACTTCCTTTTAAAACTTGTTATAACCAACAGTATCTTCCCTACTGGTCCCCCTGACAGTCAGTTGCTCCCAAGGAATGCCCAGTCAACTTTACTGTTACCAGGAAATCATTTTGGTGATGAAAAGCATCAAAAGGATTTTGATTGCTGTTCTTTTTATCATGCACCACAATATATGTTGGCATGGTCTTCTAATTGTTTAACTGGGAAGTAACATTTCTCACCCAACTGTATGTGTAACGGCAAGGAGCAAATAATTTTTAGCACCTGCAACAATAACCTAAATAATGCAAAAAGGGAAGAAGTTCTGGTGCTCAATACTAAAAGGTTCCAGACTTAGTACAGCTAGGGAAAGCCTACATGGATTTATTTCTTGTATCCTGCTGCAAAAGAGGGCTTGGACTACAGTCCCAAGCAAATCCTGAATGTTTGTTCCAGCAATTGTTCTGATTTTTGCTCCCACGAGCCTTCCCTTTGGGATTAGTTTGTATTACATGGGTATTTATGGAGAATGTTTGAGCTGGCTTCTAGGAAATCATTCCAAATCCTAGGATTTTTAGATTCCTTGTTCTGAACTCACTTGGCTTAATGTATGTTCATCCAGAAACTACCAGCAAGGTGCTGTTCGGTTTGAAAGCTGCTATAAAACTAATCATATTGAAAACTTAATGGAGATTGAGGTTAGGCCTTGTAATCTAGGATGAGGGGTGGCTTTAATTGCTCTTCTCCAGGGTGGCTGAAGCCAAAGCCAATGATTGTCATAAAAATAAGTTATTTACATAGGATTATACCTTTGGGAGATGGTAGACTGGGTCTTCCAGAGTGTCTTGCAGGAGACACGGAAACAAATAAGACTGCTACCTTCTGCTTTGGGTTCACTTAAAACCTAAAATGTGGAGGGGTGAAACAACTGAAATACCACAAAAAACCCTACACAACAAAGAAGAAATCCGTGCTGATCTTTATTCCTGCCTCTGGGCCTAGGGGAGCTGCCTGTCTTCACTCTTCATGAGCATGCATATTCACAATCACACACACATACACTGCTTCATATTCTTAGAAAAATAATGAATCATTCTGGGACACTGTAAGGGTTTACAAATTGTCTGCAAATGGCATGAATTATTGCGGCGGTCTTGTCCAAATGGCCTCTCACAAAGCTCTCCCAGACAGAAATGAGGACAGACTCTATGCAACCCTTTGGAAGGAATCAAAATAAATTCATTTGTAGGAGAACGAGCCAATAAAAGTTCTCCCTGGTCACTCCATAGAAGGCAGCTGAGGAAAGCTGAGATTCAAAGGGTCTTCTGTTCCCCTTCTCTGGAAGGGCTGAGAGCAGAGAATGTTCTTTATATATACCCACAGAATGGAAATCTCTTCTAAGAGGTGCAGAACGGCCATAACTGTGGTTCACATCCCTCTCTTTTGACAGCAAATTGTAAAGCTCTGCATTTTGTAGAGCTGTCGGGAGAGGAGTTTGATTTGCTCACATGGACATCCTTTTCCCTGTGGGCTGGGAACTTCGAGAGAGATTACGGCTCTTGCTAAACATCACAACCTGGCCCAGTACATTTCCTTAATGAGTTTTTCAGGGCAAAAAGAATAAAATAAGCAACTAGGAAGCACAGAGCCACTTAGCATTTCTTGGCTGATGTAAAACAAGATGTCCCATTTGCTACATATTGTGATGTTCAGTATATTTTAATTGCGTGGCAACTTGCACCTAATAGAAATGGCATTTTACATTCCTATAAATAGTTCCAACTATCCCATAATCTCAGAACAATTTACAAATATTAATGAGTTGAGACATGGAAGAAGATCTTATCCTCCCTTTGCGAACAGGGAAACTGAGGTAATTAAACAGGCAGATTTTCATCACCTCGTAGAGTGATGGTCTCAGCCTCAGAAGCTGTGACAACCTCGATAAGCCAGACGGCAATTTGTAATTTGACTAACGTGGCCAGAGATACTCTCCAAAACTCACATAGAAACATAGGGTAGGTCTCAGAGTAGGAAGCATGCCTTCTGCCTCCACTTTCTACTTTGCGCCCTCGGACAAAACGTTCTTGCAGGTTACCAGGCCGTGCAAAAAGGCCAGATACTACAAAAATTAAAAGATTGAAGAAAAAATAACCAATACCTACAAGAACACCATCAGATATATGGAATCCCTTTTGTCTTATAGATATTTTTTGAAATGCCTGTTCCTAGAGAGTCCAGATGTGAGGATTTATGTGGGAGCTCTGCCACCAGCCAGCACTGATACTGGTGTCCTACAGGGTGGCACTCAGCTCCCATTTATGTGCCAGGACGCTGAAAATAGAAATAAAGTTTGCAGAAGTCCTGATGCTGGAACACAGAACGGCAACAAAAATTGGCAAATCAGGCAAAACGGGCTGAGCTGAAATCCCTAGTTTTATTGCCTCTCTTCAAGCTGTGAAATAAGCGGGGGAGAACAGTGAATAGATTGCACATTGGTTGTTCGCTGCTGCACTGGAGGAAGACTTCCAAAAGCACAAATGAAGGTTCGATACCCAGCTCCTGGTGGCTTCCAGTGGGATGGAGTGCTTTCATTTCCTTTAAATGTCTTTATCAGCTGCACCATTGAGAATTGGATGGAGAGTGGAGAAGTGGCAGTATTTCCATGTTGGCGAGGCAGAGCTGTGAGAACAGGCAGAGAATTGCTCTGCGCTCGCTCCCCCTGCAGTTCCTGCTGTCGTGCAGTGAGTTTGGGTCATTACCAAACCAAAGACCAGAGACGAGGTACTCTGGAGAAAGCAGCATCAGTGGAAAGGACACAGAGAGCTTGGTTTGAGGCACTTTCCTAAGACCAAGCAAATCTCAAATCAGGAAAGCTCTGACACTAAAACTGTCAATGAGTTGGTGGTGGTGGATTGTGGCCACCAGATGAGGAGGAAAGGTGCTGCCATTTTTGGATGGATTGAATCTCTTTGGCGGATAATCACATGAGCATAGCCTGCTAGAAGTGGTTTGGAAAGGGCTGCTTGAGATGAAAGTCGGAGAGACACTTTTGGGAGTGAGTAGCCCTGAGCTAAACTTTAGCTGCTGCAGAGAGCAGGTTTGAGTCCCTCAAAGCTAAAGTGACCCTGGAGATCTTGTTACAGAAGAAGGATAGGAAGATGCAGCCAAATTCCTGCCTGTTGGTATCTCTGTTGTGCTCTTCGTAGCCCAAACTTCTCACTGGAAGCTCTCCTTTGCCTCCAGCCGAGGTTGACGTTTGCTTCGCCTGAGCTTGGCTCTGAGCTGGATTGCCCTCCTGCCCTGCGTTGGAAGACCGTATTTGCCTGAGGAGTGGATGTGCTTGAGGGCTGGCCACGGCTGGAGATTGCCCCCCCCTCCCTCCCCCCAATAGAGGCATTTAAAAGAGCTGTGTGGATGCTGCACCCAGATCTGTGGGCTTGTAGTGCCTGAGGTGGGGCTTGCAGGTCAGCTCTTCCGTGCTTGCAGGGAGGTTCTCTTGAGGATAACGTGCTGAACGTGCGGGATGCTTCTCTGTCCCCCGTCTACAAAAATCCTGGAGCTGTTTCAGTGTGATCTTGACATTTCCACAACCTGAAAAGAGAGAGACTCAAAACCACAACCTTGGAAGTTAAACACATCTGGCCTTTGGAGGAGGTTGGTTTTATATTTCCACTCCAGAGCTCAGCGTGAGCTTGAATTGTCATTAAAATCACCCAGCTCCGTCCACGCAGACGAGGCAGCACCGTTGCCAGTAGTACGAGGTTATGAGCCAGTTTCATCCACTGCTTTTTCTGTGTACGGCAATTTAGATCAGATTGTCCTTGGCCTAGTTTTTTGAGAAAAAATACAATCTTTTAATTCCAAATAATCTCTCTTATAACTTTCTCCCTTCCCCCTGTAGTATGGGCAAGGAGTTGCTGGTTGCTGTTACTTTGGATGCTTTGTGGGCATGCATTGCTGAAGCGTGTGTGTTAGTCGCTATGTGCATGGAGCGCACGTGCTGAAGTGTTGTCTGAAGCTCCACCTGGCACTGGAGGTGCTTCACACCAGGAAAACTTGGCTAAGGGCTACGAGTATTCCTGCTAGTGTATTGTCCAAGACAAAATCAGCTTGAGAAGTCATGGGAGGGGTCCTTCACTGCACTTCCTCACTTGCGTTCTGCAGCTTTCTCTTCATCCTTTCCATCGGTTACAAGGTAGTTTTATTTAAAATTTAGCCCATCAGCAAGGTATTTATCACACTGTGCAGCCATGCTTGTTGAAAGATGCAGGAAAGTACTTTGCAAAGGTGTTTCCTCAGAATTTAAGATTCCTGCAGCGTTTCAC